ACCTGTCCTGCAAAGCCTTTACACACAAAAGGCTGGAAAGGCTCGTCTTGGGCCTGCTGTTTTACGATCTGGCCACTCCAGGAGTCAAGGCGGCATGGAAGGGATCTGGACACACCACCCTGCAGCCCTGCCAGCCCCAACTGACCTTGAAGTGTGGTCACACTTCGCTATGTCCTACAAACCCACATTCCTCAAGGGGAGCCCTGTTTTCCCTCACAGCATCCTACTCTGAAACTTGTAACGGAAGGCAACCCCGTTCCCGATCTTTTCGGTGGATTCCAAGTCAGGTCTCCGGGTCCTATGGGGAGGCCTGCATTACCAGCTCCAATGTCGCAGCCTCTGCTCCATCTAACACCGACGCAGGAGTCTAGGTGGGGTGTCAATCAATGAGACTAAGGCCAGTAGATAAATGAGATTCCACAAATGGTATCAAACACGTGATTATTAGCCATGGTTTCCCTGACCCACAGATGTGACAAGGGAAATATGATTTACAACTCAGGTTAGGTGAAGACAGATGAAGTTATTCACATCAAAACAAAAACTCCATTTTAAAAAACAACACTACTAGGTTAAATTACCTAAAATACATTTTCCAGCCACTTGCCAGACTGTAGTAACACAGTGTTACTTCCTCTTCCTTAAGTCACTTCCTCGTTGTATTATTCTAACAGATGACTAAACATTCTGAGAATTCTGTCAAGAGACAAAAGACCACGCTTCAAACCTAGCTTCCTCACCAGCCAAACCATTGAGGAAGTGGAGACCAAAACAGGAAGGAAACAGCACCAAGTCTCTTGCACCTCCAGCCTGCCTCCTCCATGACTTTGTGCTCTGTGTGGGGGAGGAGTGGCGGGGATGGGGGGGTGGGGGGGCCTTCCTAGGTAGCTGGCCTCAGACTCAATCTCTGCCCGAGTTTCTAAAATACTAGGACTGAAGGCGGGACCACAGCTGGCTTACACTTCCACTACGACCTACGGGGCCATCTCTTGTGGTCTCTGGTTTCTTTCTCTCCTCAGCAACTCCACTCTGAAGGACACACTGTTTCATCTCACCACAGCACACTGAGCTTGGCATTATTCACTTGATGTCCCCAGTAGAGCAAGACAAACTAATTTATAACTCACTACCAAGGCCAGGTCGTTCCCCTTTTGGAGTCTGCTGTGGCTGGACTGTGTCTGTCTGTCCCCTTACCAACCAGGCTGGCCAGGCACTGTCTGCAACTCTCCCAACGCTTGCTTTTGAAAGGTTTTACTTCTGTGTCTTCTCTGTGTCTGAGTATTTGGCCTGCATGGACGTCTGTGCACCATATGGGTGGCTATAGGGAGAAGGAGCTTCAGGGCCAGGGTAACATCTCACTCAAATTCTCCCCTCGCAAGCATGAGCACCTGAATTCAGTCTCCTCAAACCTGAATTTTAAAAAGGGGCCATCGCCTGGTGGCACACGCCTTTAATCCCAGCACTTGAGAAACAGAAGCAGGCAGATCTCTGAGTTCAAGGCCAGCCTGAGCTACAGAGTAACCTCCAGGACAGCCAGAGCCACAAAGAAACTTTGTCTTGAAAACCCAAAAATAAATAAATAAATAAATAAATAAATAAATAAATAAATAAATAAATAAATAAATAAATAAATAAATAAATATGAAAAAGGGGGCCAGCAAGATGACTTCATGGGTAAACGTACCTGCTGCTCTAAGCCTGATGACCTAAGTACGAGCCCACATAAAGATGGAAGGAGAGGACTCCCAAAGTCTTCTGACTACCACATGTATGTTATGGCACGCAAACACACACACATACACACACACACACACACACACACACACACACACACACTTCAAAAGCTAGATGCTGTGATACATATTTGTAACCCCAATACTGAGGAGGCAGAGAAAGACAGATTGGCAGGGCTTGCTGGCCAGCCAGCCTAATCTACTTGGCCAATTCCCAGTGAGAAACTCTGTCTCCAAGAACAAGGCCGTGGGCTAGAGAGACAGCTCTAGTTAAGAAGATAAGAAGATAAGCTGCTCCTGCAAAGGCCCACGGTCAGGTCTTGGCACCGTGCTGTGAGGCTGATGACCTCCTCTAACTCTGGCTCTCAGGGACCTTACACCCCAGGCCTGAGGGCACCTGCGCGCACACACACACACACACACACACACACACACACACACACACACACACACACACAGAGATGGAACAGTTTTTTAAATATTAAAAAAAAAAAAAATGCCCGGCGGTGGTGGCGCACGCCTTTGATCCCAGCCAGGCTGATCTTTGTGAGTTCGAGGCCAGCCTGGTCTACAGAGCAAGACCCAGGAAAGGCACCAAAACTACTCAAATAAACCATCTCAAAAACCAAAACAAAAAACAAACAAACAAAAAAAACACCCCACCCATGTTGTCCTCTGACCTACACACCACACACACACACACACACACACACACACACACACACACACACACCACACATACACAAAACACCCCAAGGCTCCCTAATGTATTAATAGCCGACAGCTGCCCTAGCTGAAAGTCCCCTTGTTTACAAAGCACTGGAAGCTGCTGACTTGCAGGTCTGTCAGCCTGTGTCAGTCAGTCATTCACACTCGCCACATTGCTACTCGTCAGTCAGTACAGCCCACTACCTTTCATTCACAATTCCGACCTGTAAAGCTACAAAACTCAGCTTTCCTGATTTGCTTGGCTCAAAATTCACACAAAGACTATTTAGTCTTCACTTACAGATGTTCGTGTGTTTCCCTTCATAAATATTAAAATTGGATTATAGAGTTCTGCCCCAGGCCTTCTAAAGGTGTTGGATAATACAGAACATACAAAGTACTACCTTTCTAAAATCCAGAATAATACAAATTAAAAAAAAAAAAAAAAAAACAACTTGGAGCCAGGTGTGGAGCACATGCCTTTAATCTCAGCACTCAGGAAGCAGAGGCCTGAGTATCTCAGAGTTCGAGGCCAGTCTGGTCTATATAGTGAGTTCCAGGACAGCCAGGACTACACAGAGAAACATGGTCTTCAAAAACAAACAAAAAACCCCACAACACTTGGCCCAAAGGATTCCAATGAAATTAGCTCTTCCCTGAACGGCTCCTTTGTCAAGGCGTCTCACAGCAGCAGGATTTGGGACAGGCAAGTGTACTTGTCATTTTACCGTGGGTGAGAGGGTTAACAGTGCCATGGAATGGGAGCGAACTGGTCAAACTCCTCCACCAGAAGAACTCTCACAGCACTAGTTTCAAGAATGATTGATTATGCTGGGCATGGTGGTGCACATCTTTAATCCCAGCACTCAGATGGCAGAGGCAGGCAGATCTCTGAGTTTGAGGTCAGCCTGGTCCACAGAGTGAGTTCCAGGACAGCCAGGGCTACACAGAGAAAC